GCACGCTTCCCGATTCTCCCGTTAGTTTAGCTTGACGACAACGAATGAAGGACTAGCCGATCTAGAAACAGGACATTAGGCTGGAAAAGAAAAACCAGACACTTTAGTTCGACCCTGAAATCAGATAAATCACGTCTGGTCACCCTATGCATGTATACAAGCGTGAATATCACAACTCAACAAAAATGTTTATTAAAATCTTTTCCCAATTTATACTTATAGTTTTTGTTTTCCATGACAACAAACATAAATAAGCAAAAGTTGGTATGTACATACATACATACATATTGTCGTTTAAAGTACAAAACCGCTTATCGTCATTCTGCAAAACCGCGTAACTGACATTGGCTGCCAAAAATTGGATTTGCTCACACAAGCTCTTGGCTCAATCCTTATCCATTTGTCCTGGAATATACTAGCCAGGAATGCGATTGCTTTATAAAAAAGAGAACCATTTTGAAATATGAGTGTTTTAACGCTCTAGAAAATAGTTTCTACAACTTCACATACGCGGTTTTGCATTTTGTTGATACGCGGTTTTGCACTTTAAACGACGATATGTACATATGTGCACCTACATACTTGACCACCGGCATAATATTTACATACGCTTATTGTTTTCGTTTTGAATTATTTGTCATTTGAGTTGTTGTTTCCCCAATGTTGTTTCTTGTCATATAAAAATATATGTATGTATATGCATATGAGCTAACAACCATGTACATATCGTCGTCTAATGTACAAAACCGCGTATCAACAAAATGCGAAACCGCGTACGTGAGGTTGCATAAATTTATTTTCTAGAGAGTAAAAACACTCAAATTTCAAAATGGTTCTCTTTTTTCTAAAGCAATCGCATTCCTGGCTGGTATATTAGGACGAAGGTATAGGGATTGAGCCAAGAGCTTGTGTGAGCAAATCCAATTTTTGACAGAAAATGTCAGTTACGTGGTTTTTCAGAATCACGATATGCGGTTTTGCACTTTAAACGACGATATAATATGTACATATACATAGGCATGCATAGATGCCAATTATTACATGTTGGCTGTATGCTTCGGCCAAATATAACAGACAAGCAGTCAATATGGGAAATACAATAACAATCAATTTCAATATTTGCCAGCATTTAGGGGGATTTCGACAAATATTTTAAAAATAATTTTTCGTTTTCATAAGCCTTAAAAGCTTTAGTTTGCATATTCACAAGTGCATTTTATCAACACATAGCAGAAAATTCGTAATTCGTACCATAACTGCAATTAAGCCGAAAAAGTTATCGTATGAATGCATTAGCATTATTGAAATTATTAAGAATTGTCTTAAACTCAAAAAAGGATGAAGGTATTCGAATTTAAGAAAAAATTTTAAAAACTAGGAAACGAAAAAAAAATTTAAACCAAGGCGAATTCATACAAGGTGGTGGTAATAGAACAGCTGATTTGATTTTTTTTATTCTTCTCACGGCTAACAATGTCAAATTGCGATATTTTGTTCGCATTTCTACACGCATTCTTTTACAGATTTTGACAACTCACGCCGCAAACGCAAAAACAAAATAAACAGCANATACTAGACTTACCGTAGAGAAAATTTTCATGTCAGGCAGGGTTGTATGAAATTGGGCCGATTTCGCTTATTTTTATTTAAAACGAAGAAGGGATTTTGTTCATAANGTTATAAAGGAAATTCGTGATTCTTTGTACACGGTAATATCGAAAACTACTAAATGGATTTTGACGAGATTTTCTCTAATATACTCTGTATCGACAGGA